ATATTTTTTGATATGGTATACTTGTCCTTATGTTGTGTATAAAGTTTTAGCTGATTCCGATCAAATTTGGATTTTTTATGAATTTTTAAAGTTGCTCAAAAAGCCATGTACTGAAAAGCCTCAAATATAGCCAAACACCCAAATGAATCTAAAATGCTAAATTAATGCACACAATTAAAAGTGAACTTGAGACATTTTTATTCATTTTATTTCTTTGTAATAATTGTGTACCTTATTGTATTGATAATATTGTATCCTCTTATCTCTCTCCTATAGTTGAGTTATGCTGATATGATGAAGAGAGTTGATCCGTTACATAAAGAATTGAAAGATTTGGAAACCAAAGCTGAGGACACTCGTCAAAAAGGAGAAGAAATAACAAAAATAATAGCAGAACTTGAAGCCTCTATAGCAAAGTAAAGAACAAAACAAAATACATTAAAAGTGAAACTTATATTTTTAATTTTATTTCTTTACTTAGATATAAAGAAGAATATGCAATGGTTATATCTGATGCTAGTGTTATTAAGAATGATTTATCAACTGTTGAGAAAAAGGTAAAGTATTTTAATAATTAAAGATATTTATGCACCTACCTACATACAATGCATGTATCTATAATATAAAGATAGTTGTATTAATAATCTCTTCTCTACAATGTACATTTAGACGTAGATCATGTACACACGTACATGAATTTATGAATTACAGTGCATGTACTACATTGTATGTATGAGATTTTATGCTTGCATATTTCTATGTGAAAATGTCTTTGTTATCTTCTTTGTTTTTTCTGTTTGACTCTCTTTCCCCTTTCTATTTTTCTCCAGGTTGTTGGTCTTAATGTCTCATCAGCCACTACCCCTGAGCTATTATTAAAGAGGTTTGATCATTACTGTGAGTACAAGAGGACTCCCAATGGAGTTGTGATGGCTCCTTCTCAACTCGGAAAGTGGCTGGCTCTCTTCTGTGACGAGATTAACCTTCCAGACCTTGACAAATGGTAAGGAGTATTGATTTTACAATAAAATTAGTGAATATAAAGTTATAACAAGCTTATGTGAATCCATTCAATCCAAATACACTTTAGAGAGATATCATTCTCTTTTTTAATGTTTCATTAAAAATTCTTTTTTCTAATTAAAGGTACTCAGAGAGTAATATCGTTCTTACATCAGATTGTCGAGCACGGCAGATTTTACAGGACTTCCGATCACACGTGGGTGACAATAGAGAGGATACAGTTTGTAGGAGCGTGTAACCCACCGACTGACCGGGGAAGGAAACCACTGTCTCACAGGTACAGTATGCTGTAGTGGGCATTGAATACTGTATTATTTGGGAGGGATACATTTTGTATTGCAGTATACCATATAGCACTTTAATTGGGA